CTCTAGCCCCATGGCTTAGAACCCGCCTAGTATATCTACTTTTAATATTTATTATGTAACCTTTATGTGGTTAAATAAAATATGTATTTGTAATACAAAATATTTACATTTCCCCACTAAGATTAAATCAACATTCAAACGGCTTTAATATTACATTAAGGCGCACTAGTGCATCAATATTGAATTCACTATAAAATAGTCTATATATGTATATCCCCCCCCCGCAAACACAAAGTTACATATGTAACATATACGAGGTGTTACGACTGTCTTTGGCGCCCTACGCTGGAATTTGCTTTTATGTCGCATCACAAGAATTGTTAAGTCTCTGAAGCAATTTCCTGTTAATAGTAACAACTAAAACCATACAAACCAACAACTAAAAAAAAAAAGAAATTTCTACCAATTTGCATAATACAGGAATATGAATAAATTTCATATTTTCTTTAATAATATATTTGATGCTTAATGCAATATACTATTACATTTTCTGACCTTAGTTTTTGAAAATATTCTGATTATGTCTTTAATTATTAGGACTGTCAAGACTGATTACGGAATCAAAACTGTTCACCAATTCTTTTTCAATTAAGATCATAGTTAAATTGCATGACCACGTCTGCGTCATTATATTTCTCAGATAATTCTTTATTATTTTTAATTTTAAAAAAGATGCTTCTTCAATTGCTACAGATATTGGCACAGTTAATAGGATCGCTATTGCTAAATTTGAAAAGATTTCTAGTAAACCACTTTTAGCTAATTTATTTAAAAGTAAGGTAGAGCTTTATATTTATAAGAGTAGCTCTGTTTATTAAAATTTTGCGTCCCTCCAAATTTTGCGCCCTATCTTGAAGCGTACTTATTCAATGCCTCGTAACGCCTCCGGTAACATACTTGGCTGTGTTTGGAAACGTTATCCGAGGGCCTCCATATATCAATTTATCTTTGTTCATCCAATCTTAAACAAAGATAGGATGATACCCGGGTAATGTTTCGGAACACAGCCCTTGTTAGTTATAATTTCCCACACTAAAAAAAAATTTATTCAACTAACACATTTAGTTGTATGCAGATTTGATTTAATATTGAACAATTTGTTAAGCAGACGGTTGAATTCGAATAAATAAAATTTGTTGAATTAGACAAATCTAAATGTGTTTAGTTAGTTGAACAAATTTTTTTTTTAGTGCACTCAACAATATACTGTAATATAACTGCATGTGCATTATATGTTAGTTATATTATTGAGTGGGAATTAAATTACTAACTGATGTAATTTTGTGTTTTGCTGAACAGTCATACATTTAAAATTTTTATAGACAATAATTTTAGATAATATAAAATTTTATATTGACTGTGTACCAATATGTATTGCTACTATTCTGGCAAATTATTAATATTTTAATAATTAATGTTAAAATTTAATTAAATTAATTAAAATTAAATTAATTAAATATTAATTAAAATATTAATTAAATTTCAAAATAATCTTTTATGACAAAAAATTTTTAAAAAAATTTTTCCGAAATTTGTCCGAAATTAAATTTCGAATAAATTCGCACAAATGTGGATTTTTTGTCAAATTTTCCTGGAATATAAGAATTTATTATGAATAAAACGAATTTACAAGAAATTAATACATGATTTTAACATATACTTTTTTAACAAAAAGATCATTCGCGTTTTTTTTGGAGAAATTTGGTATTTTATGCAGAAATTTATTTGATTTTAACTAGGATTTACTCGAAAAACTTCAAATTCTCTTAGCCAGCAAATGCGATTTTTCTGATATTTTTAGTGTTTTGTCCAAAATTAATCCAATTTTTACGGAAATGTGCAATTGTCCGAAATATCTCGATTTCTCTTTCTCGGCAAATATTCTGCGTTGAACAAAGTGGATGTTTTTCGCCAAAATTTATCGTTTTAAGGAAGGCGAGTTTGAGAAAAATCTTAATTTCCCTTAAATTGAAAATAAAAGTCGTTTTAAAGATGTCTTTTAAACAAATCTCAAAAATATTTCTTTTTCAAGACGTCTTTTAGACATGCGTGTTTTTTAGATATCTACATGAATAAAATTCTAATTTTCGAAAATAATAAAATCTTATTCGCAATTTTATTATATTTGATTTCCTTTTTTATCATTTAGAATCATTCGAGAGGGATCCGATTGCGCACGTCGCTGACTGATCAATTTAATATAAAATATTCTCATTAAAAAAAAAATAGTAAAAAATTATTAGGCACTAGTCCATGTGAATAGATATGTGCGGAATGTAGACCAACAGGACCCTCTCGTATCATTTTATTTTCTCGCATCTGTTCTCCGAACATTTTATATTTATTAATATATTTATTAATATATATACCAGTATGTGTGTGTATGTATTAGGTGTAGTAAAAAGAAATCCATTATTTTTCCAATAGATGGCTTTAGTAATCTGTATCGCGCGTAGACGAGAAACACATAGCTAGCTAAAGCATATGCTGAATATCGAATGATTATATAATTCATACAAATTAAATTAATTAAGATGTGAGATTATTTAAGTGAACCTTTTATTGGAACAAATTGGAATTTTATTGGGACAAGTTCCTCTAAGTTATAAATTAATTTCCTATAAAAATTGTTAACATAGAAGATATAAATTTTTATAAATTCTTATAAATGTTCTTATTTAAGCGAAAACACTTTTTGCATCAACAGGAGTCGGATGGGCGCAATTCTGCTCGACTGTAGCATTGGCAACTTACTATAGTTCACTGATGGCATTAACACTTTATTATCTGATCGCATCTTTTTCCGCCGAATTGCCTTGGGCTACCTGTCTGAAGGAATGGGGTGACGCATGTGTTGATTCGAGTACCAAAAGGAATCACAGCGCAGATAATGCAGCAGAAGAAAATATTGACATTCTAAATAATTTCTTAAACGGCAGCAATAAGTTTCAAAGCTCGGCTGAACTATATTTTTTGTAAGCATAAGTTATTGTACATTATTTTATCGTATTCTCAAAAGAATGATTGGTAAACTATGATGAGAATGAATGCATTCTGTAATTAACTCATACTCTTAATTTTCACGATAAAGCAGTTTTTTTCAAATAAACAAGACTCATGTTGGAAACGACCTAATTGAACCAAATATTAGAAATAAGAAATTTGAAATGATAATTTTATTTGATATCTTCGCTAAGGAAAAGTAGATTGATTGGAAATTGATTGGAAAATCTCTGATTAAAGCTTGCGAATCATGAGCTAATCTATATATAGAACAACTCCGGTATATACGCCGCACCTGTCAAGAACTTAATTTATTAAAGAAATGACGGTCTGAATCGAGCGGTAATAAAGTTTATATAAAGATTATATAATTTAATCGCATATAAAGTTAGTATGACAAACGGTAAATATCAAGAAAACTTAATGTAGGGGAGATCGGGGTCAGAATATAGGAGTAAGTAGAATAATCGAGGCTATATTAAAAACAAAACATGTCTGAGCATGCAGCAGCAACTGCCGCTAAAGTCTGCTGCAACATCTTGTTGCGAACACATCTATGATAGAAGTTTTCCCACAATTTTAAAAAATCGTACACCTAAGTAAATATTTTTATTCTTAAAGTTTTTTACAATCGTATACAATTGTCTGAGATATTTGATTTCTATTTAGATAGTAAATGTTCTTACTTAATACAGTCTAATAGATTTTTTTTTGTTTTTTATGTGTCTTTGTTATCGTATATTGTTTTTAAAAAATGAACGGATGGGGATAATAGATTAACCATAGCATGGAATTGTATGACTCATTTATAATAGTGACGACTCTTATAGTACTTACTTAAAATTTTATTCCTTTAAAGAGATTTTCTTCAGTGGTAAATGTTATAAGTTTAATTCCCTCATGTCCAATCTCGAAAACTAGACTTATTCGACGTGTTTTTACGAAATGAACAAATTTTGCAAAAAGAAATATTGTTTTGCCCTGCGAAGCGAATGTTTGTGTTTAAAATATATTTTTATAAAAGTTTTATTCATATGTAGCCAAAAATGTAGCTTAAAATACATTAATCTTTATTTTAATAATCTTACAATTACCTCAGTCCCGAGGCTTGAATTAGATGGAATGCATTAGAACAATGCACTTTTTTATCAGTTTCCTCTTATTATTAAAATATTATTAGATAGTCAAATGTATGTAGTAACTGGTATAGAATTCATTTTTTTGATAAGTTTCTTAATTTTGTCTGTAAAAATTCGAAACTAAAAAATGAGTCTATTAGCCCCGGTCTCCCCTAATAAATCGTACGTTTCGGAACTCACAGGTCCTTCTTCAGCGATTTATAAAATATGTTGCATGGTAATATAGATGAATAATCTTACGGTCTGCGAGACATAATGTGGTATTATTTCGAAGAATTGATCCTCTTGTTTTTATATGAATTGTGTCTAAAGTGAAAAATTCATTATCACAATATCAGAAAGTCGTAAAGTAATGAAAGTAAATTGTCAAATTGTTCTTTATTGTCCATCTTTGTATTAAGTCAATTTAAATATTTATAAAATAATTGAGGTTGAATTTCTTCTTACAATATGCGAAAACAAGAGCATCTTACAAATTCGTCTGATACTGTTGAGCGCAAGTGTTACAATGGTGACAGACAGATATTAAGGGTATCTGATCGATGTTTGTTTATTTGTCTGACGATTTTTCAATAAGTAACAATAAGAGTCGTCCAAACGATCCATGTCTTTCTGAGAGTTAATGCCTTTGTTTTGTTTTTTAATGTGTAGTATCTCTGAGATAATTCTTTTGTTGTAATTATTTTCGATATCTAGAGTTAAGACTTCCTTCAAAATTGTGATCGCAATTCAATCTATGATCGAAGATGACGGAGAGTCTGGAGGAACTCTGCTTAATGTTATTTCTATGTTCATTTATATGGGTTTTAAGTTGTTTTTTCGTTTGCCTCATATATGACGCCTCACAATCTTGACAATTGATTTGATAGACAACGTTCTGATTTTGGAATTTATTAAGTTTATTTGTGTACTTTGATGAAGGAGCTTAACGTGTTTAAGATTTTGTAGCTAATTGTGAAGATTGATTTATTAAAAATTGTGATGGAATACAAAACCTTAGGTATATATAAGGTACCACAAAATATTTTTTCTTTAAATCGATTGCATTGTCCGAGATCATTGTCAACGCTCTGTGTGTTTAATTTCTCATGTATAATTTTTTTAATTCTTTTATTTATGCAATTAAGGATAAAGGGTAGTTTAAGAGAAATTGTTTAAGAGAATGTTTATAACAAATTCAACGTTTTTTTTATGGAATCTAGGGTGAGAAAGAAGAGTGGCTCTGTCCACAAGAATCGAACTAATTTTATGGGAAATCGAATGATTGGATAGAAAGGAAAGATATTTGCCGGAGAACATCTTTTTATGGAACCAGTCAACAATTATTTTATTATTCTCAATCTTCAATAATAGGTCTAAAAAGTTTAAGCATCTATTATTTTCAATTTCCAAAGTAAATTGTAACCTATTATGGAAGCTGTTAAATGAGAATGTCATCAATGTGTTCTCTTGGCGCATAATGATGTCATCTACGTATACATATCGTTGATAAATTATAGGATTTAAATTCAATGTGTCGAGAACCTTCTCCTCTAAATCTCACAATATAATTTTAGCTAAAATAGGGGACAGTGGGGACCCTATAAGTGTCTTAAAAATTTGTTTATTTTGTTGTTAAAAGTAAAAAAGATTGTAGTAAAAATAAATTTTAGCATCTCAATAAACTCGACGTTTGGAATGTTGATTTTAATTGAAATTAAGGGCCATCTTTTTTCAATACTGTTGATTGCAAGATCTAGTGGAATGTTCGTAAACATAGAAATAACATCAAGTGAAAGTAAAACAAATTGTCAATATCTGTGATCAACAATCATTTAATAATTCAATATCATTTAATAATTTGAAAGCATCAAAGCTGTTACGAGTTTGTCGTGGATTCTCCTTATTACTAGAAGGAATGACAGAATGTAAGAAGGCAGCTATGGGGTACAGGGATGTATTGACAGAGGAGACTATAATTCTGTATGGAATGTTTTCTTCATGAATTTTAGGTAATCCGTAAATTCTAAGTAAATTGGAGTCGCTGGAAATTAGTACAAAATAACCTTTTCTTGTAATGAGATCTTTTCAAGCCAATGCTTTAGATAACCATTTAGTTGCTAATCATTTAGTTGTAACATTTGCATTTAACAGTATCAGATGAATTTGTAAAATGCTTCTGTTTTCGCATATTGTAAGTAGAAATTCAATCGTCTTATGAATATTTAAATTGACTTAATACAAAGATGGACAATAGAGAACAATTTGACAATTTACTTTCATTACTTTACGACTTTCTGATATTGTGATAATGAATTTTTCACTTTAGACACAATTCATATAAAAACAAGAGGATCAATTCTTCGAAATAATACCACATTATGTCTCGCAGACCGTAAGATTATTCATCTATATTACCATGCAACATATTTTATGAAGCGCTGAAGAAAATTCTGTGAATTCCAAAACGTACGATTTATTACATTAAGTTTTTCTGATATTCACTGTTTGTCATATTAACTTTGTATGTGATTAAATTACTTTATATAAACTTTAATACCGCCGTTATTTTTTTACATTTTGCAAAAAACGAGCGAATTTTAATTAATTTATTAAGTATTATTTACTTGTTTAGTTACTTATGTTTAAAGTAAACGAACGATATCAGTAAAAATTTTGTACTGTCTATTACTATGAAAAAAATATTAGAAATCCAAAATATTCATTTTTCGTATTAAAAAAAGAATTTTTTAAAACCCTTGCATTTTTGTCGTACCTATATCTCATAAGGATGAGATATACGGTTACTTATAGGAGGATATATACGCCTCATGACAAATTTACAAATAATTAGGATTGGAAAGTTATTTAGTAAAAATAATTAGTTACAGTTACAGTTTTTTTTTTTCAAAATACTAGTTACAGCTACAAGTTACCGAGATTAAAAATTAACTCATTGCAATTATCAAAAAAGTTTTTCAATTATTTTTCATGACAGAACAATATGAGTGACATGGATATCATTAGATTATTTTCTATCAAAGAAAAAAATAATTTACGTTTACAATTTACTGATCAATCAAAAAATATTTCGAAGCATTTGTAGCATCAAGTGGACCGTAGTCTTCATCATAGTATTCAGATTATAATCAAAAAAAGAAACTAAGTTAAGTTATAATTATTGAAAAAAAGTAATTGTAATTGTAACTTAGTTATAAATAACTAATTACTTCCCTTGCAAATAATGCTTATAAATAAGACATAAAATGACACAATAATTTATGAAATGTATTTGTAAAGTATTAAGGAACAAATATGATAAATATTATATGTATATGAAATAATAGATAATAATTGTAATCTTCTATATATTACAAGTGTTATGACATGATATATACTTCATATAATGCGTTTAGTGCACTGAATCCAATCTGCGCACTTTGTATGCTTTGGACATAAATCTCGCCCGCTAAAAATGCCATATATCCCAAATAGATGGGATATAGGTACAAGACACAAACTAAACAAAGAATACAAAAGCAAAGCACTTGTATTTTGCTATACAACATGTTTTATTATTCCTTTACACTTATGTATCACAAAATAACCACTAAGTCTTTTACACATGCCCTACAGTAATCATTTTATGTAGATTATAATTTATGATGGCATTACTTATTACAGTGACAAATCGATTCAAATCACAATAATTTCATTAATATTAACAGTAAGAAACTGAAATCATAATAAAGTACTATAACAGAGTAGTTGCGGGAAAATTATCTCCTTTTATTTTTTCTGATTTTTCCGGCGTATTTGCCCGAGTTATCCTACATATGTATACACATATTGTG